ATGCAGAGTGTGTGTGTTTGAGTGAATACAGAGTGTGTGTGTGTGTGTTTGTGTGGTGTGTGTGAACTGGGTGGGGGGGAGAGCATTTTTATTATTTTTAAAAAAAAATTGAATATAAAAAAAAAAAATATATATATATATATTTTTTTATTATTTTATTATTTAATGTTTATTCCTAATTTAGTAATCAAGAAGGCGGATAAGGGTGGGGGAACAGTCATCATGAGCCGCCAATTCTATATGGAAGAGGCACATAGAATTGTAGGGGACAGCACCACATATAAAATTTAAGATCAAGACCCGACTTCCACGTATTTAAAATAACTCAATTGTCTTTTATTAACATGAAAAGATAAAAATATCGTCTCTCAAGATGAATTTTTTCTATAATGTGGATTGCAAAATAGCTTTTTATTTTTGTCCCTCCTCCCTGCTTGTTACCTGGTCAGAGAGGGGAGCTATCTTAATCCCTGGTGGTCCAGTGGCACGGGCTGTGCAGGGCGGAAGCCGGCAGCAAGCTGTGACATACCTTTGTAGCAGCTCTGGTCAGCTCCCTTCACCTCCGTGCAGCTCCCTGTCAGCTCCCAGTGTAAATCTCGCGGTCTGCGTGCCGCGCGGTGCGTTGCCACGGTAACCAGTGGCAACGCTCTGACGGCCGCGGGTGTCGCGGGATTATCTATTTAAAAGGCTAGTTATCTACTAAAAGGCTGAAAGACCTAAATTGGTCTTTCAGCCACATTTACTAATACTAAGTAAAGATGACTTAGTATTAGTAAATTCAGCCCCTACTCTCTATACCGCGAGTAGGGGCATGTCTAGTAAACAGTGAGCAGCCTGTAAAAAAACAAAAACCTATTGCCCCCACCCCTGTGCGACGGGTGGGGACCATTAAGATCCATACTGTCCTCCCCCCCCCGGCCCCCATCCTTGAGCGGTGGGTGGGGGCCATACTCTCCTTCCCCCGGTCCCCACCCCTGCGTGGTGGGGACCGGGGGCTATAAATTACAAAGGGGGGCCGGGAGGACAGTAGGTCCCCCCCATTGTAATTTATGGCCCCCACCCACCGCGCAGGGTTAGGGGCCGGGTGAGGACAGTAGGTCCCTCCCCCATTATCTTTATGGCCCCCACCCACCACTCAGGTCCCCCCCCTTATTGTTATTTAGGGCCCACACCCCTGCGCGACTAGTAGGATAGTAGTTTTTTTTTTTTTTTTAACAGTGAGTATAGTATAGCGAGTAGGGGCATTCAGAGGATTTTAATCTCCTGTATGCTATTATGGGGGTCATATTGACCCCCATAGAGTGAGGGAGGACATGGGGGGGGAAGTGGCGGGGGAGCACTGCATACATACACATATTACAAGGAGGGAGCTGCGCGCCGGTAGCTCCCTCCTTGTAATACACCAATGAAAGTGTAGGTACACCAATGAAAGTGTAGGTACACTAAAAACTGAAACGGGGGTGTTAATTAATGAAGACCAGGAAAAGGCAGGAATTTTAAATAACTTTTTCTCCTCCGTATATATTAAGGAAGAACCCATGGCAATAGATGTGCAAATGATTGCTACTAAAAACTTGCAGAATAATTGTAATTGGTTAACTCAAGACAAGGTGCTGCAGCAACTAAAGAAAGTTAATATAAACAAAGCTCCAGGGCCTGGCGGTATCCATCCACGTGTACTTAAGGAACTAAGTGCAGAAATAAGTGAACCTCTGTTTTTAATCTTTCAAGATTCTTTTCTTTCAGGAAGTGTTCGGGAGGATTGGAGGAAGGCAGATGTGGTTCCTATATTCAAAAAGGGTTCAAAATCCTTGCCTGGAAATTATAGACCTGTGAGCTTAACTTCTGTGGCTGGTAAAATATTTGAAAGTTTATTAAGGGATAATATTCAAGAATTCCTTGAGAAGAACATGGTTATCAGCAAAAATCAGCATGGTTTTATGAAGCACAGGTCATGTCAAACTAACTTGATTGCGTTCTACGAAGAAGTAAGTAGAAGTATAGATCAGGGTGTTGCCGTGGATGTGATCTTTTTGGATTTTGCCAAGGCATTTGATACAGTTCCACACAATAGATTAGTGTTCAAACTCAAGGAAATCGGTCTAGATCAAAATGCTTGTTCTTGGGTAGAACATTGGCTTAAAAACAGAGTACAAAGAGTTGTCATTAATGGTAAATTTTCAAGCTGGACAGAGGTGGTAAGTGGTGTCCCTCAGGGGTCTGTTCTGGGACCCCTTCTATTTAACATGTTTATAAATGATCTTGAAGACCGCATTGAAAGTCATGTTTCAGTGTTTGCAGATGACACAAACTTTGTAAAACAATACAATGTGAGCAAGATATTACTTTGCTGCAGAGGGATTTAGATAGACTGGGAGACTGGGCACTCAAATGGCAGATGAAATTTAATGTTGAAAAATGCAAAGTTATGCACTTCGGCGTAAAGAATACACAAGCAACGCATACCCTTAATGGAAGCGAATTAGGGATAACAACACACGAAAAGGACTTGGGAATTGTTATAGACAACAAACTATGCAACAATGTGCAATGTCAATCAGCAGTGGCCAAGGCCAGTAAGGTATTGTCATGCATGAAAAAAGGGCATTCATTCTCGGGACAAGAATATAATTTTGCCTCTTTATAAATCACTGGTAAGACCCCATATTGAATATGCTGTGCAATTTTGGGCACCTGTTCTAAAGAAGGATATTATGGCACTAGAAAAGTGCAGAGGCGGGCTACAAAATTAATAAAAGGAATGGAACATATCGGCTATGAAGAAAGGTTAACAAATTTAAACCTATTTAGTTTAGAAAAACGCCGCCTGAGAGGGGATATGATAACATTATACAAATATATTCGGGGCCAATACAAACCATTGTGTGGAAATCTATTCACAAACCGGACTTTACATAGGACACGAGGCCATGCGTTTAGACTGGAAGAAAGAAGATTTCGCCTAAGGCAAAGGAAAGGTTTTTTACTGTAAGAACAATCAGGATGTGGAATTCTCTGCCTGAGGAAGTGGTTTTATCAGAGTCCATACAGATGTTCAAACGGCTACTAGATGCATGCTTGCAAGAACAGAATATTCAAGGATATAATCTTTCAATGTAGGGTAATAACTGCTTGATCCAAGGATAAATCTGACTGCCATTCTGGGGTCAAGAATGAATTTTTTTCCTAGCTTGTTGCAAAATTGTGTTTCAAACTGGGTTTTTTTGCCTTCTTTTGGATCAACAGCAAAAAACAAATGTGAGGAAGGCTGAACTTGATGGACGCAAGTCTCTTTTCAGCTATGTAACTATGTAACTATGAACAAACGAACACTGATATTCAGTGTTTGTTTGTTCGTCTGATATTTCTATTCATTCATTCGAATGAATGAATAGATGAAATTCCTGTTCGCATGCCCAAGTGTTTCACTGGGCATGTGCGGGAATCTCACAGGCTATCTAGTGTGGCCAGATGACGTGTCCCACAGGGACTTCATCTACCCACATAAAGATGGCGGCGCCCTGAATATAGATCGGGGCAGAAAATAAAGATTTAAAATAGGTAATATGGGGGTTTAGGGGCATTTGGGGGTGTCTAAGGGGTCAATTAGATGTAGTGGAGTCGGGAGGGGGGTTAAAAATAAACGGGATTCGGCCATGACAGTGCCGCTTTAACTGTGTCCACAAGACATCTTTGTTAATATACTGAATTGCTTAAAGGACCACTCTAGGCACCCAGACCACTTCAGCTTAATGAAGTGGTCTGGGTGCCAGGTCCTTCTAGGGTTAACCCATTTTTTTATAAACATAGCAGTTTCAGAGAAATGTTTATTAATGGGTTAAGCCTTCCCCCTAATCCTCTAGTGGCTGTCTCATTGACAGCCACTAGAGGCGCTTGCACAGTGAGAGCACGCAAGCGTCCATAGGAAAGCATTGAGAATGCTTTCCTATGTGATGGGCTGAATGCGCGCGCAGCTCATTCAGCCCAGGAGGAGGAGAAGAGGAGGATCGGAGGAGGAGAGCTCCCCGCCCAGCGCTGGAAAAAGGTAAGTTTTAACCCCTTTCCCCTTTCCAGAGCCGGGCGGGAGGGGGTCCCTGAGGGTGGGGGCACCCTCAGGGCACTATAGTGCCAGGAAAACGAGTATGTTTTCCTGGCACTATAGTGGTCCTTTAAAGAGGGCTGAAGCAACTCTACTAAATCAAGAAAAAGTAAACAAAAGACAAGTGTCATTGTTACAAGTCCCCAACCTCACAGATATATCAATTAGAGAAAGCATAAAATGAAACCATAAAATGTTTTAGGTGTGGTAGGATGGGAGTGTGATAGATACACTCAGGGAAATAAAAATGCATGTAATCACCCTAGGTGGAGATCACAGAGAAGAGATAATAACGGTAAACCCCCCACAAAATCTTGGAGCTCCTACCGTGTGCTTAAAGCACAAAATAAACAAGTAAAGGCAGAAAATATTTCTCTAAAAGTTGAATGAAGTGAATTTGTAGAAAAACTGGACTGTCTCAAGGCACAATTAATAAGATTAGTGGAGATGGTTAACAAAGCATCTGTTAAGAAGGTAGAACAGATAGCCACTCTTGAACAATCTATTCTAATTGTGTGATATTAACTTCCTCTTAAAGTTTGTCTTTTAGAAAAATATGGAGATGATCCCAACTGAGAAGGAAGAAAAATATAGACCCGTGAGAAGACCTACCATCCAACATGTTTATTTCTTCTCAGGAAAAAATACAGTTTTCATGTATTTTTATATATATTTTTTCATGTTAGGATAAGCCTTTAAATTTATTAATTACAGTTAGGTGGTTCAAATTCCAAGTTATTTTTGTTTTCATTAGTTTTGCACACCTGCACTGCCAGCTGTGTTTTATTTATTTTTGTATTTTGATGCAGGATAACGAATTATAAATTCACAGATTAGGTGGACCATTGTCAATGTGAGGCTTATATAACATAAACTACAGAAGCAGGAGGACACAGGCAACACTCCAGGATCAATAAGGTAAGTTTATTTCTGGAAACACCACCTCATAAAGTGCAAAGTGTCGGTTCAACAGAGCCTTAATCTGTTGAGTCGAAATGTTGCACTTTGCACTTTATGAGGCGGTGTTTCTAGAAATAAACTTACCTTCTTGATCCTGGAGTGTTGCCTGTGTCCTTCTGCTTCTGTGAGTATTTTGGTGGATTCGGTGTTCTTTACCTTTGACACGACAGAGGGCCGGAATTTGCAGGCGGAACCTGTGTGCAGGGATTCTTGTTTCTGTGATAGTGTAACTGTCTGTTGGTTTACTACAGTAAATATTTTTTTTTTTTATTTGGTTACCAACAAAAAATAGCCTCGAGCAGATTTTTGATTTTTATCTTTGAAAGGCAACAGACCATTGCCAGTTTTTTTTTTTTTTTAGATTGCACGCCGTCAAACTTTGCATACATTTCTATGTCTTAAGGTAATGGTAGCATTCAATCTACTTTTTTCTCTCTCCATCTTCATTGACTTTGTTGTTTTATTATGGTTTGTTTTTCTTTGTTTTTTTATTTAACACTCTAAAAGGAATATAGGAAAATTAGATAATTTTGGATATTTTACATTGCCTTGAGTCAAGGTGGGGTGAATAAGAGCGATAATGATTATGCTTTGTTTTTTGTTTCTTTTTAATTTTTACTCTCAAGGTTGGGGTATAGAATGTAGGGAAATTATATATAAGTTTGTATATTTTGTATTGCCTTGAGTCAAGGTGTGCTGAATAATAGAGTGACAATATATAATTTCTGCATTATCGCTTTGCTCTATTTGGCTATCCACAAGGGGTTATGGGTATGAGAAGGTTATAGTAAATGATTTTATACTGTTATGAGGATGTATTCCTTAGTACACATTAATGTGAATAGTTGCATTTTGCTCACATTTGAGTTTACAATTTTTTTAGATGACCACTTGTGAATCCAGTTGGCAATGCTGAGACAAGGATGATAATGATTTGCATAATGTAACACTGCACACTTTCTGTACTGAGTATCTTCTAATTTCCGGAAGCCAAGGGCCTATCGACAAATTATTAGAAATCCTCAAGGGCCCAAACACAAACCCATTCCAGCTATACAACTTTCAATAATTGTACACAAACACCTTCACTCAGATCCCCAGTACAAACAATAAACTGTGTTTCTCCCTTGTGTGGTCTCTTCAATACACAATGTAAGTGAACGGCAAATTAACTGCTGGTGTGAAAATATACCAGGTGTCATGGTGGGCAGAGGTCAGAGGCCTAATAGGTCAAAGTATGCAAGGCCAGGGTTAAAGGAAGCGTGTGGTGGAAGCAGTGTTGGTGGCAGTTAACGGAGTATGAGGGGAGTGAAATCAAATGCAGTGAAGTCGAGCCTTTGAGGGAATGGAAGGTTAAGAATATGGCTAAAGGAGTTCAAATCATTGGTGAAAAATTATAACTTCAATGATTTGGCTAAATTATGCCTCGCAGAACCCTACATTTTAAATATTTCTGGTAAAATATTCTATAAATAAATAAATATTTGTGGTTGTCAGGTCACTTGTGTCTCACATAATCATTTAAAGCTCACATAATAAAAATACTGTATTTTTTTTTAAAAGGGGTTATTTTCTTTTTGAGTCATTCGCCCTCTAGGTGGCACCAAGCCCCCTAATATTTCAACCTTTATGCTAAATAGTTTCTTAAAATATTGTAGCAGTCCTTAACATAGATCATGTCCTTGGATAGTACTTCTTAACAGGTCAATAGAAACCCTTCATTTTACTGTTCCTGCAAATAAACTTTGTATAATCACAAGAATGATCATTGCTAAATTATGGGAGCCAAGAGCATAACCCTAAGTAAGAAGTTAAAGTATCTATGGAGAAGATCTGTTTCACAAATCAGTAAACCATGTTCTTAAGAATAAACAGATAATTTCCCTTGATTTCCTTGTAATTTCTCTCTTCAGCTCTTTCTTTTTTGTTTTTTGCTCACTCTTACATTAACAGGACAAAATAACACACATCTCTGTTTATATTATATCTTCATGGAATGTTATTTCCATCATTCTCTTTTTTTATTAGATTTATATTACTGTTAACTGACTAACATCTGTTAGCTGCAGATGTTTTTACCATTAAATCAATAAAAATTTAAATTGTCACCCAAATGTTTTTTTTAAAAATCTCACCAGCGAATGTCTCTCCATTGCACCAAATCTCCGGGCTACGATCCAATTCCAGTGACGTTCTCATGATATCTGTATGTGTGTGAGATAAATCATTTATTTGTCTGCCTGTATCTGTCAGAACTGTAGGATGACAAGCATTTTTATACACAGAAATCCACTGCATAACTGGTTTATCATCAAACTGATCTTCATTGAGTGAGCAGAAATACACACAAACCCACTATATAACAGGTTTATCATCAAACTGATCTCCATCATTAAAAGAGAAATCCAAGCACAATAACATTATACAAATATATTTGGGGCCAATACAAACCATTGTGTGGAAATCTATTCATAAACCAGAATTTACATAGGACATGAGGTCATGCGTTTAGACTGGAAGAAAGAAGATTTCGTCTAAGGCAAAGGAAAGGTTTTTTTACTGTAAGAACAATAAGGATGTGGAATTCTCTGCCTGAAGAAGTTGTTTTATCAGAGTCCATACAGATGTTCAAACAGCAACTACATGCATACTTGCAAAAACAGAATATTCAAGGATATAATTTTTCAATGTAGGGTTATAACTGCTTGATTCAAGGATAAATCTGACTGCCATTCTGGGGTCAAGAAGGAATTTTTTTCCTAACTTGCTGCAAAATTGGATGTGCTTCAAACTGTTTTTTTTTTTTGCCTTCTTTTGGATCGACAGCAAAAAAACAAATGTGAGGAAGGTCGAACTTGATGGACGCAAGTCTCTTTTCAGCTATGTAACTATGTAACCACTACAGTGAGCTAGGGGTGCCCTGGTGTCTCTTCATTGCAAATAGTAAAACTGTTATATAATTGTTAGACTGCTTTCCTGGGGTCCAATGGGTGCCGCTCCTTGTCTCTGATACTTCTCAAAGAGATCCTATAACTCTCTGTCTTAGCACGGCATGCAGAGGTTAGAGCACTGGCTGAGTGCAATCAACTGACACTTTGGCCAATGAGCTAGCCCTGCACTGCAGGATTTAATTTAGGAGAGCTACCACATGCTCTTAAGCAGGAGCATCTAGCTCTCCTCCAGAGACTTCAAATTTTGCATGACTTAAAGGAACATCAGCACAACAAGTCAGCGCTTGTACGATACTGATATAGTCCACAGGCAGCTCAATCACCAAAAACTGAGTCTCTTTTGTCTGATAGGGGGTTGGATAAAATAGGAAAAAAAAGTGTAGCGTGCAAGTCGGAGCTGTATTTAAGCTCCGTGAAACTGTGAGTGTACAATTTTTAATTTTCCTTACTCTATAAAGAAGTTTTAAACTCACTACACTATCAGTCCTTTTTGTTTTTTCCTTTTTTTGTCATTACATACATTTCCTTAAGGACACTTAAGGCATTCTACAAAGAAGTAAGTAGAAGTATAGATCAGGGTGTTGCAGTGGATGTGATCTACTTGGACTTTGCCAAGGCATTTGATACGGTTCCTCACAATAGGTTAGTCTTCAAACTAAAAGAAATTGGTCTAGATGAATATTCCTGTTCTTGGGTAGAACATTGGCTTAAGGACAGAGTACAACGAGTTGTAATTAATGGTAAATTTTCAGGCTGGACAAAAGTGGTAAGTGGTGTCCCTCAGGGTTCTGTTTTGGGACCACTTCTATTTAACATATTTATAAATGATCTTGAAATAGGCATTGAAAGCCATTTATCAGTGTTTGCAGATGACACAAAACTTTGTAAAGTAATAAAATGTGAGCAGGATATTGCTTTGCTGCAGAGAGATTTGGATAGATTGGGGACTGGGCACTAAAATGGCAGATGAAATTTAACATAGAGAAATGCAAAGTTATGCACTTCGGGGTTAAGAATGCACAAGCAACTTACACACTAAATGGTAGTGAATTAGGGATAACCACACGAGAAGGATTTGGGAATTGTTATAGACAACAAATTAGGCAGCAATATGCAATGTCAATCTGCAGTTGCTAAGGCCAGTAAGATTTTGTCATGTATAAATAGGGGCATAAATTCTCGGGATGAAAATATAATTTTGCCTCTTTATGGTAAGACCACACCTTGAATATGCTGTGCAATTTTGGGCGCCTGTTCTAAAGAAGGATATCTTGGCACTGGAGAGGGTCCAGAGACGAGCTACAAAATTGATAAAAGGAATGGAGCATTTTAGTTATGAAGAAAGGTTAAAAAAATTAAATCTGTTTAGTTTGGAAAAATGGCGCCTGAGAGGGGATATGATAACTTTATACAAATATATTCGGGGCCAGTACAAACCTTTATCTGGAAATCTATTCATAAACAGGGTTATACATAGGACACGAGGTCACACATTTAGGCTGGAAAAAAGGAGATTTAATCTAAGGCAAAGAAAAGGTTTTTTTTACAGTAAGAACAACAAGGATATGGAATTCTCTGCCTGAAGAGGTGGTTTTGTCAGAGTCCACAAAAAAAGTTGGATCTCCCAAACGGGGAAACAACTAGGTGTGTGTCTAGGGGCGGCCAAAATAGGGGATAACCCTCACATACGTGTATTGATTGAAAGACAGACCTAATAGGTCAGGGAAAACAGGACGCCCCCTGGTGAATACTTATATATATATACAAAAGAGGTAAAACATAACCTTTAATAGTTGCTGTAATAAAAATACTCTAGCAAAAAGCTTAGAAAGAATATATGTAAATGTTTAAAATTGGGAGGATATATGCCTGGAAGGGGATAATAATCCTGAAGGAATCACCTAAAGGATCTCAAGCTGAATAGAGCTGAAAATCCCCCCAACCAGTAAAGTACTTCTCTTAGTGATGGTACCTCTAAAACTTGCCTAGATAAAGAGAAACAATTCCTCTATGCTTGCTAGATAGACTCTTATCAAAAAGTCTCTTATACCACTAACTGAAATAAAATCCAATAGGGTAAGAAAGTAGCAACTATATAAATCCTTGTGACCAGATTGTAGCAAGAAATAGTAGAAAAGGTCCA